CTGCAGGGACAACTGTTCTGGGAAACAGCAAGGAGGGAGATAATTTGAGCTGTGGACTTTCGGCTGTCCAGATGGTCCAGCCAGTTTGACTGTTTACAAGTGGTGGCTATTGTGGATATTTAAAGTGACCAAGGGTGCAGCCATTTTGAATGTTTACAAGCAGTGACCATTTTGGACATTTAAAGTGACAGACTTCTTATTTGGATTCCAGGGACCTAAGAATAGGTTCTGTTTGCCAAGGATGTCAGGGACATATGAGAGACTGACAATGGGAAAGGAGACAGGTGTCAAGTGCATAAGTGCTGCCAACTAGGGAAGAGAGAAGTATAATACGCTGTTTATGAAGATAAGACAAAAAAAAAAAAAATTGTGGGCAAGTCATTTCAACATACAATCACTAATTAAATATAAACCCAAAAATGTCACAATGTCTTGGAGACAACAGAGCATCACAGGCCACATAAATAAGCAAGATAAAGCTGTAGGAACAAGGGACCAGCATACAGACTCAGAACATATCCCTGAGAAAGAAGCAGCACTGGATCTCCCTGATAAGGAATTCAAAAGAATATTTAGGTACTTTCAATGGATTGAGAGACAGATCAAGGAAAGTACTGACAAAATTGAGGAGAACACAGCCAAAACCCTAGAACAAGTTCAAAGACAAAAGAAGAACAAAATGACAAAATAAATGAAAAATTAGAAATGATACAAATCTACAGATAGAAATCAGCAAGATTAATACTACATTTTTGGAAATAGATAACACATTGAATGGGCAAAGGGGGTAGAACTGAATCAATGGAAGACAGAATTAGTGAGATTGATGACAAATACCTCAATACTTTTTTGGAAAGGGCTCAATCAGAAAAAAGATCAAAACAAAATGAAGAAAGCCTAAGAATCATGTGGGATACTATCAAAAGGAATAACCTATATGTAATCAGAATTCCAGAACAGGAAGAGACAAATAAAACCATAGAGAAAATTGTCAGAGATTTGTTGGAAGAGAATTTCCCTGGTATGATGAAAGATAAGAATATATTAATTGAAGAAGTCAATGAACCCCAAACAGGATAGACCCCAAAAGAAAATCACCAATACATATCATCATCAAACTCACCAAAACCAAAGACAAAGAAATAATCCTGAAAGCAGCATGGTAAAAACGAAAAGTTACAAGGCACAAACAATAAGACTAAGCTCAGACTTCTTGGCAGAAACCATGGAGGTGAGAGGACAAAGGGATTATATATAAAACCCTGAAGAGAAAAATCTCCAACCAAGAATTTTATACCCAGCAAAATTATCCCTCAAATATGGTGGTGAAATTAGGTGATTTCCAGATAAGCAGAAATTAAGGTAATTTGTTAAAACCAGACCAATCTTACAAGAGATGCTAAGGGGAGTCCTTTGGACAGAGAACCAACAATAGCAAACAATAACTGACCGTTAACACACATGGTGACACAACCCAGAAACCAAGCCAGTTATAGAAGGATCCAAAGTAAATAAGTCTACAGGATTGTAAACAGGGAGCTAGAGACATCAATTGGCAAATGAGGACAACTACAAACCAACAAGAGGGAAAAAACTGTGTAGTTACAGAACTTCTAAATGGTAGGGAAGTCAAGACAACTGCAAGATAGAACGGACTGTTCTAAACTTGGGAAGAAAATTATAAATCACAGGGTAACCTCAAAGAAAAATGATACACCTTCACATCAAAATAAAAAAGACCAGCACAAATATTTAGCAAACACTAAAATAATAGCTAAGAAGGAAGTGATAATACAATTCATAAACAAAATGAGCTCAACACAGAAAATTATATGGAACAAAAGAAATTAGCAACACTATTGAAAAGCACATAACAGAATGACAGCAACAAATTCATATTTGTCAATAAGTACACTGCCAAAAGAGTAAAAAAAAAAAGAACCTACAGATTGGTAAAAAAAATATTTGGCAACAATATATCTGACAAGGGACTTATCTCTAAAATTTATAGAAAACTCCAACACTTCAACAACAAAAAGATTAACAATCCAATAAAAAAAATGAGCAGAAGACATGAGTAGATGCTTCACCAAAGAGGATATTCTGGCAGCCAGCAAATACCTGAAGAAAGGCTCATGACCATTAGCCATCAGAGAGATGCAAATCAAAACCACAATGAGATTGCATCTCACCCTAGCACTAATGACAAAGTTCAACAAGACAGAAAATAACAAATGCTGGTGAGGATGTAGAGGAGACTTTGGGACTCTCATACACTGCTGATGGAAGTATAAAAAGAAATTTCTTGAAATATACCAGTTTTCCTTCTCTGAAAATCATAAATCATTTATTAAAATAGAACTCTGTTGTAAAAAAAAAAAAAAATTGAAAACCTTAATATAACTTTCTTCTTGGTTTAGTCAATTAGGTGAGGTTCTTCAGTCCCTTTTTACATGTAGATATTTGTGGCAAGAGGATTTAGTTAAGCACATGGGTTCTTATTCTAAAATCAGGCTAATGGGTCCCCAAAGCCTGACTTTCATTATTTACCAGTTGTTGTGTCTCTGGTGATTTTCATGATCATTTTGACCCTCTGTTTTCTTTACTATAAAATGGGGATAATTCTAGTATTTATCTCTTGAACTTTTTGGGAGGAGGATGGATTAAATGAAATAATGCACACAAAGCACTGTCACAGTGCCCGACACACAGCTACTATTTATCATTCATTCACTTTCCATCCACATAAGTCAACTTGGTCTCCTGTTGCAAGGAGAAGTTGGGATGCAGAGCAATGCAAGCTTAGCAGAGAGAAACCACTTCCTCTATCTCCCCAGTACTCACTCCCCGACACAACTGCTCACTCTCAGAGCTCTCCCTAAATTGCCTCAGCCTGTGAGAGGAGTTCTTAATTAGAGTGTGAGGCACAGAGAAGTCAGCAGTTCCCACACCAGCACTCTTTACAAGGAGGAGAGATTATGGTTCATAAATTTCTCCTTGTCTATTGCTTTAAATTTTTGTTTCCTTTTCTTTAACTTCTCCTTCCCTTCTGATATGCATATAATTTTGTTTCTTTGAATTCACATCTGGGATGCCACCTTCTTCTATGGCCATCATTCTTGTTTGAGAAAAAGAAATAATTTTAATTTCTGTGAAGTATTACTCTACATCCTACACAAGAACTCCAGTTTAAATTTCTGATTCCTGTGAAACATTTTTCAAATCCCTAGGAAGTCTAGTGGACTTTATTCCCTGAGTCCCAGCCCTCAAGTTTATTTCAACAGTATAAGAGATTTGATGGCACTCCCTCCTAGATTTCCTTTTGGAGTAAGTTAGTCCCCGATTTATGACGTTTTTGAGTTATGACAAACCAGACTATGCCAATATGTTTTTTTCTTTTTTCGGTACATCTTATAGGTTAGTAATATACTACACGCAATGTTGCAGTGCATAATTTGGTAATGTCATCGTATCTGTAAGTTTATATATAATGTTCCCAACCCCAAAGACAAATAAAGTTTGGATTGATAAAGATACTGATAATCAAAGGCAATAATAATGAAAACTAAAAAAAAATAAAATAAAAAGGTATTTGACTTACATCAGAACTCCTTATGACAGTATTGTCAAAATGAAACCCTGCTGTAAGTTGGGGACTACGTTTATATACTTTTTTTTTCTACCCTTCCCTCAGAGATGAACTGTATTCAGAGGTACTTTATTATCCATTTGTTTTCTAGTCATTTAGCCAACTAATTATTATTCACAGAGAAATATTCAAAATGCAAGTTGGTAACAATATTTTCTTTTACAAGTCAGCTCTACATTAGGATCTTCCTGTCACTGAAATTTGATTCTTATATTCTGGTTGAATGTCTCAATTCTGTTCCGAACCTGTTCTTTAGAAACAGCTCAGTTCCACCACCATTTTCCCAAATTCACTCCCCTCTGAGAAAGCTGTGGGGAATTTCTCAAAGACTATTGGAATTCCCTTCCATTCTGTACTTCCCTATATGATGTCAGCCGTCTATAAGCAGGCCATCATTAGATGCCTTGATACACTTCTCAAAGTACTGGGGGAAATGTTTATTCTGAATCATCTTAACATGGTAGGAAATTATTTGGATATACTCATTTTCCTCGATTTTAATTGTTCCAATGGGTAAGTAGAGAAATAAATATATGTAAATTATTTAAAAATATATTTAACACCCTCTACCAGAACTCTTGTAAGATATTGTGGTAAAAATATCACAGAGGGATTATTTCTATTACTTAGGGTATCCAGAAACTAGCTCAGTATAATGTTGCAACTAATGCATGACTCAAAGGGAATTGAGACTGACAGGCATTTCAGCTCTTTCTCTTCGATAAGTCTGTGCTTATTTGCCGATGAAGAGAAACTACGATATTGGATTGACTTCACCTCCAGGCACTCCCATTCTCCTCTCACCCTGAACACTTGCTCTTCCTCCAGCAGTCCTGCTCAGCTCCATTATAACTGCTGTTGAACAGTGAAGTGCCACTGTGCCACCCTGCACCCCTTGGAAATGCTACTACAGGTGCTCACTGCCCACCCCTCCATTATGTGATGTTGCAAGAGGGTGGAATGAGCAGACCTGGAGGATTAGGTGGCACATGGTTGCACAAAGAAGAATGGCTAGAATCCACTTTGCTTACTTGAAAGCTGGCCCTGGAATGGAAGGCTGTTGTTGTTGGGTGCCATTGATTAGATTCCTTCTCATACCAACCCTGTAGGACAGAGCAGAACTGCCTCATAGGGTTTCCAAGGCTGACATTTTTACAGGAGCAGATCACCAGGTCTTTCCTCCCATGGAGTGGGTGGTGCGTTTGAACCACTGACCTTTAAGTTAGCAGTGGAACACATAACCATTGAGCCACCAGGATTATAAATCATTGTTTCTCAGTGGAGGCCCTACTGGCATTTTAGGTAGGATGGGCCTCTGCTGTGTGGGACTCTCCTGCACACTGCAGGATATTTAGCATCTCTGACTCCTACTAAAAGCTATTATGACTATAGCAAGACCTCCCTCATATACTTCCACACCACCCGCCATGGAGAGCACTGCGATAAATGCAATACCATCTCTTTTTAGACAGAAGAAGACTATCAGCACAACACCAAGGAACAACAGGAGGGCTCCCAGAAGTATCAAGTGTGTTCTCTCATTTGGTGGAGATCCACTAGGTGATTCTGAAAAACAAAACCAAGAGAAACTAAAAACAGAATGTTGATGGGTGGGGATCAGGGGATCAAAGATAAAATTTTCATAAGGGCTGGAGGAGTTATCATCCTTGAGATCTAATTTAGTTCAAAAACCAAACCAAACTCACTGCTGTTGAGTCGGATACGGGTTTCCGAGGTGATATCACTACCGAAGTAGACTGCCCTTCTGAGGAGTGGCTGGTGGGTTTGAACCCCCAACCTTCTGGTTAGCAGTCAAATGTCTTAGGTACTATGCCACCAGAACTCCTAATTTAATTTAGCTTTAGGTTAATTTCCTTAAATTCTAGAAGTTCCTGACCAGCAAGTGCTGCCACAGGGAGATACCTCTGGTAAGAGAAGGGAAGCAGCATGGACAAGTGGAAGAAGCACAGACTTCTTTTTTTTTTTTTTTTTTTAAATTTTATTGTGCTTTGGGTGCAAGTTTACAAAGCAAATTTGTTTTACATTCAACAGTCCATGCACATTTGATTTCATGCCTCGATTCCCATTCCCCAACCATAAAAAAACTCTCCTCTCCTCCCATCCCTGTGACTACCCCTCCCTGTGCCCTTCTTAACTATGCATTCCTGTCTGTCCAGCTTTGCCTCTATGTGAATGCTGTTCCTCTGGTGTCTCATGGCTGATTGATTTAAGGGGTACATCTCCCTAGAGTGGATGGGTGCATCGCCCTGGGGTAGATGTCCTACATGTAGGTCTTCCTACTGTTGGGCTGAGAGCCAATCCACGGGATTGAGTCCATTTCTAGGCCTGAAGAGTAACACAGGGCCATAGTCTCGGGGCTTCCACCATACTCTTATCTGACCAGTAATTCTGGTCATTTTTGTGTTTTTGAATTTTGTTCAACATTTTCCCTCTGACTCTATTCAGGATCTCCAGTTTTGATCCCTTTCTGAGTGGTTGGCATTGGTGGCTAGGCACCATCTAGTTCTGGTCTCAGGGTCATGAAGGCTGAGGTCCTCGTGGTCCATCTTATCCTTGGACTAATTGTTTCCAGATGCCTTTGATTTCCTTCACTCTTTGATTCAGATGAGAAGAGAGCAATAGTTGCATCTTAGATGGCTGCTCGAAAGCTTTTAAGACCCTAGTTGCAACTCATCAAAGTAGGTTATAGAACAAGATTTTTATGTATTATGTTGTGCCAGCTGAGCATGACATTCCCTGAGACTATGGTTCTGAGTCCGCAGGCCCAGTGATCCTCTCAAAGTGTTTAGGTGTCTCTGAGCAGTTACTCCAACTCTGTCTTCTGCTGCTTCTGTAATGTATGTGGCTAATTTTATAGCACAAGTGTAAGATTATCTTCAGCCAAATCTATCTTTGGTCTAGGGTATATTCCTGTTTGCCACCCCCACGTGATCTTCTCATCTGTCTGTACATTTATCTGTAGCCTGGTGTTTGTTGTTAGTGGTAATGTAGTGTTGTACCTGTACTAATATTTGCCTTTGTTGTCTATATCTTATGACTTTGGACAGATGGACCAGGGGTTGAACTCTGCAGCCTTTGAGCCAGCTTTCACTCTTGGGCAACTCCCTTAACCACTCCCACCATACAAAAAGAAATCATAATAAATTTACTGGGAGGCTAATATTTGTAAAGTGCACAACATAGGATCACAGGGAATGACTACTCACTCAATACTAAAGGCAGCCTCGATTACTTCACTTCCTTTTGCATTCTTCAGTATAGAAGCTACCAGCCTACTGCACAGGCAAAGATGGCCCAAAGTGGGATGTGGAAGGCCACCAGGTACTGCCAGCAACCTCCTACTGCCCACATAAAATCCACTGCCATCCAGTCAATTTTGACTCATAGTGACCCTTTTGGGCAGAATGGAACTGCCCCAAAGGGTTTCCTTCAAGGCTGTTAGTCTTATAGAAACAGACTCTTCATCTTTCTCCTATAGAGTGGTTGGTGGGTTTGAACCACTGACCATTTGGTTAGCAGCTGAATGCTTTTAATCACTACACCACCAGAGCTCCTCTTCCTCCCACATTAGCAGCAATGATTGAGGACCAGTGCCATCCTTTCCTTCTCTGCAGTTTGGACATTTTGGAACATTCAGTCATTGGCACTTCTCGCCAGCCTCTCTGGGGCTCCAGGCAGGAAGGGACCCTGTGGCTTATGGAAGCTCAAAGACAGCTTTCACCTCTCACTATCAGTCAGCTCCTGTGGCTCCACTAGGAACTGAAACCCATGACCCCTACCCACATAACTCAAGTTTAAAATCACAATAGTAGCTTGCCTTTATCTAGCAGTTTATAGTATACAAAGCCTGTTCATATACATTTTGAGTCTCAAAACAACTTCATGCGTTAGTGTGGCGATGGTGGTTCAGTGGTAGAATTCTTGCCTGGGTTTGAATCCCAGCCAGTGTGCCTCATGTGCAGCCGCCACCCATGTCAGTGGGGGCTGCTGTGTTGCTGTGATGCTGACCAGGTTTCAGCAGAGCTTCCAGACTAAGATGGACTAGGAAATAAAGCCCGGTGACCTACTTCTGAAACCCAGCCAATGAAAACCCTATGGATCACAGTGGTCTCATTGCAAATGGTCAGAGGGAAGGTGCAGGACCAGGCAGAGTTTTGTTTCATTGTACATGGGGTCATCCTGGATTGGGCTGACTCAAAGGCAGCTAAGAACAACACACCAGAGACTAAAAAAATCCCCAATTTACAGATGAGGAAACAAAACAGTTAGGTGAGTTACTCTGGTTGTCCTGCAAGTAAGTTGTCATAAAACAGATTTTAAATGGCCAATAAAAACCCCAAAAAACAACTGCCATGAAGTTGACACTGACCTATGGCGAGCCCATGTGTGTCACAGCAGTGCTGTGCTCCACAGGGTTTTCAATGGCTGAGTTTTCAGAAGTAGATATCCAGGCTCTTCTGAGCTGCCTCTAGGGAGACTCCAACCACAACCTTTGGGTTAGCAGCTGAGCATGTTAACTGTTTGCACCATCCAGGGTCTCCTTTTAAATGCCAGGAACATGCTAACAGAGCTTTCGTCAAAGGCCAGTGCAGTAAGGGCATCTCCTTAATTTTCTAAACTACTTTTGCTTTTGTTGCCTCCAGGACCAGTCTGTGATTGTCTTTTGCTACTGGGTGACTTTTCTACCTAATTTTTAAATTGCTTTTCCCTGAAGTACCACGAGATTTCTGTCAACATCTACTGGGGGGAGGGGTGATAAGAAGTGTTTTTCTTCAGAACACCACTAGGGTTAAATGAAACATTGCACCTACCCTCTCTCTAACAGCTGAGCCTCTCATGAGACTCTGTCTCCTGACCTACCCAGTTCTGTAGAATAGTGAGATAAGAAACAGCTGGATCTGTACAGACAAGTGTCCCAAATCATCTTTACACACTACAGCTCATTTTATTCCTTGTCCAATAGGTAATAATAATCCTGCAGGGGGAGCTCTGGTGGCGTAGTGCCTAAGGCATTTGACTGCTAACCAGAACGCTGGTGGTTCAAACCCACCAGCCACTCCTCAGAAGGAAGGTTGGGCAATCTACTTCCATAATGATACTACCTCGGAAACCCAAGGACTCGCTATAAGTCAGGTCTGACTCGGCGGCAGTGTGTTTGGTTTTGGTCTAGGGGAAGAGAAGCACACAGAAGTCTGATCACCTGCCCAGGGACACAGCCTGATAATTTAGCCATTGGCAGGTTGAGATGAGTTGGAAAGCCACAGGCTACCATGTTGTTGTTGTTGTTATATGCTGTGGAGTCGGCCCCGACTCATAGCAACCCCTCCTTGGGTTTCCGAGGCAGTATCACTACGGAAGTAGGATTGCCCAACCTTCCTTCCGAGGCTACCATAGGGAGGCGGATTTGTTTCCTGCAGAGGTTTGAATCAGTTTGAAATGGGCAGTGTACGAACTACATGGCAACCAAATCTCCTGTAGGTCAGATTTTGACCATGTAGGAAACAGGTAGCACACCGGCTAAAGTATTCAGCTGCTAACCAAAGGGCCCGCAGTTGAAATTCACCAGCCTCTCCATAGGAGAAAGATGAGGCTGTCTGCTTCTGTAAAGATTTATAGCCTTGGAAACCCTATGGGGCAGTTATATGCTGTCTTTTTCTATGAGCTGGAATCAACTCGGTGGCAGTGGGTTTGTTTTTTGGGGCTTTTAGGAAACAGATAGCAGCACCCTGCTTGAAATGGTGGCCGACTGAGCTGCTTTGAATATGTGGTGGCTGCCATCTTTGAGGGGGCACTACTCCCTGTTTCCTACTTGGGTCAAAATCTGACCTGTAAGAGATCTGGTTGTTAAGCAGTGCATGTGCTGCCTTTGTTACTTCAACCATGACTGAACAGTTTGGGGTTGGTCTGAAGCCCTGGCATCCTGCCGCAGAAGCCCTGGAAAGAGAGGAGAAGCTCCAGTGGACTAGGATTTAGATGCCTGAAAGGTGACCCTAGTGGTGTATTCCTCTCAGGCGCTCCCCCAACTCCAAGAGCACTTCTTACATGCAACTGGAATCAGCTGTTTTCTTTTGTTTCCTGGGGAGTGTGAACTGTGACTTATTCTTGTATGAGCCCACCAAACCCACCAAACCAGACCAAACTCACTGTCATTGAGTTGATTCCAACTCATAGTGACCCCATTGAGTTTCCAAGGCTGTAAGTCTTTATGGAAGCACATTGCCGCATTGTTCTTCTTCAGAGTAACTGGTGGGTTTGAACCACCAGCCTTTTGGCTAGCAGCCAAATGGTTTATCCACTACAGTACATGCCTAACAATACAGTAAAACCTGTGAGAGCTGGAACTCAACTGGACTGCATTGTTTTTCTGGGTCTTGCAAATTTTCTGCTTTTCATAGGATGCAGTCTTATTAATATTTTATTGCTTGTTTTGGTGGGAAATGTTTGAGTTTTCCTTCTTTGATGGGTTTCTGACTTATATAGAATCTGGCTTTTGCAGGTTTTACTGTACCTGATATGTAAAGCATACTCAATGAATATTTAAACCCCTTCTGACTCACTGCCCCATAGGGTTTTTAAGGCCGCAATCTTGATGGGAACAGACTGCCACATCTTTCTCCCACACAACGGCTGGTGAGTTCCAACCACTGATCTTTTTGGTTAGCAGCCACAAGTTTAACCACTGCACCACCAGGGCTCCATCAGTGAATATATGCTAAATGCTTATTACACAGCAATATTAAATGGATGAAGGTAGGTGGGGGAAGCAAGATGCATTTTGTAAATATCATGTTTTTAATTCATTCATTCAGCAAACACTGAATGCCTATGATGAGTAGGCACTGTGCTAGATGCTAGGGCACAGGGCTAGGTGCATTTTAACTGTGATATTCAGAATGTTACCTGGGATGACCAACTCAGCTGTACTGTTCTCCTGGGGGCCTTGTCTTCGAAAAGTGCAGTAGAAGATCTCATTGGCTGTTGTGTTAATTCTCAGTGTGCTGGTCACATTGAAAAACTCCTCCTTTCCCTTGGTGATGGTGGTCTTGCCTCTCAGGACTTGGTGGTCACTGCTGGTCCAGATGACCTCAGCCTCAGGGTAACCCTCGGCCTGACATGTTAGTTCATGTTCTGAGGTGACTGGATCCACAGAAATTCTTTGGTTGATTTTGCGATATGGAGCTAGATGTGAGCAAAGAGAAGTCAGGGTTTCCACTTAGCACATGTAACTTGGTGTTGTCTACATTAGGAAGAGTATTAATCCAAACTAGCAATGAGCTTGATGTGTAGCTGTCTCAGTAGTGGGAAACCCTTTCAGCTCTGCTCAATCCTTCTATCCAACTTGGGCTTCAAGAACAGCTACAAATCCTGTATTTTTATTGTGCTCTAAACAAATGCATAGATTAACTTTAAACCAGTAGTCTTTCTATTCAAATATAAAATATGTCTTCTCATACATTCAAGCCTTTGTATACTTCCCAGTCAACTTTTATAGTTTTTAAACAAGGCTTACACATTTTTTTCTTAAAGTCATTCCAGGGTACTTGCTTTTTGTTGTTGCAAAATTGTTTTCTTAAACATGAACCTTTCCAGCTTCCAAGGACTGTTTTCTTAGTTTAATTAAAAAAAATTGGATTTTGATATGCCATTTTATTCTTCAACTTGTAGTCAATGATCTGAAATTAGGCATGAAAATTCATACTGTGTCATTTATAAAAATTGATACATTTGCTTGGATGATACTTTTTAAAATGAAATATTAGTGTTACAGAAAAGTTGTAAAGATAGGCCCTACTTTCTGAATCTCTTACCCAGTTTTCCCAATTGTTAACACCTTACATTATTGTGGTACATTTATCATAACAAAGAAGCCAACATTAGTACATGACTTAACTGAACTCCACACTTTTGATTTTGTTATTGTTGTTATGTGCCATCAAGTCGGCCCTGACTCATAGTGACACCTCCTTTGGTTTCCAAGGCGGTATCACTGCAGAAGTAGATCGCCCAACCTTCCTTCTGAGGAGTGGCTGGTAGGTTTGAACCACCAGTCTTCTTGTTAGCAGTCAAATGCCTTCGGCACTATGCTACCAGAGCTCCTGATTTCACTAGTTTTTCCTAATGTCCCTAATGTCTCTATTCCAGGATCCCATTTGGGATACCATATCATAAACTTATTTTAAAAAGTTCTTTATGCTGGGTATGTTAATAAATCATTTAAATGATTAGTATACTCAAGGAAGAAATTTTTATAAATTTTAGATTATTGGTTTGGGTCCCTTTCAGGATTAAGATACTCAGTTTGCTAACTGTTCTAGCATGTTAGTCAGTGCATTTACACAGCTTAAGTTCTTTATTCATGTTTATTGTTTCAAGAATGTTAATATGTTTCTATTCTGTTACATAACCTTTATTTTATGAGCTCTGGTAGCTAGTGCCTAAGGCACTTAACTGCTAACCAGAAGGCTGGCGGTTCAAACCCACCAGCCACTCCTTGGAAGGAAGGTTGGGCAATCTACTTCCGTAGTGATACTGCCTCGGCTATGAGTCGGGGCCGACTCGACAGCACACAACAACAACAACAACAATCTTTATTTTACAGTTAATACTTCAGTGTAACTAGTAGACCTCCTAGAGTCTTAATTCTCCATTCATTTACTGAAGACATAACTCTGTGATATGATACTGTAAATTCAGAGATTTAATAGCATCCAAGATCAAACAAAAAGAAAATTATGATATGATGTTTTGGTGGTCTCAAGTCAATGAAATCACTACTGGAAGCCCTGGAAATCAACGTAATTATGATTTCAAAACACACAAATAATGGTTCTTATGGGCAATGGAGTTCTCAATCTTGCATCTGTCGTGTTTAAGAGTCTTTTAAGAGAACTAATCCATTGATTAAAAAACCAAAACAAACTCATTGCCGTCGAGTTGAATCTGACTCATAGTGACTCTTCCTTGGGTTTCTGAGGCAGTATCTCTATGGAAGTAGATCACCCAATCTTGATTACACTTCATGAAATAATGTTAGTCCATGGAGTGTAGTATACATAGTTTGATTTCTGGGTAAGTAAATTTTCAAACCTAAATCCCTTGTCTACAGTAAAATGTTTGCTTTTTTTACTCTTCTAGTATTTCTAATGGAAAAAGAAAAAAGGAGAATGTTGTTTCATATCTAGGAACATGTATATATATGGTACTTCTACGGGGCCAGTGAATGGGTGTTTTCATGCCAAATGAATTAAATTTATACTATTTTAGTTTTCAAACTGGGATATATGCATTGAGAAGTAGGAAGAAAATATTGGAACTTCCATTTACATGTATCTTTACCTCAACAATTAAGAAAGGATTTAAGCTTTACAAGCTTGGCTGATTCACATTGGGCCTTACTTTGTGGACTTCACAAGGGTCTTAGGGGAAAGGGACAGTTTTAGAACACCACAGGGAGAATGGTGACTTGCTTTGGGTTCACAGATTTTTAGATGCCCTTAGTTCATGTGAGGAGTTCTGGTAGAACAGTGCGTAAGGCATTTGACTGCTAACCAGGAGTTTGATGGTTCAAACCTACCAGAATGAAGATGGGGGAATCTACTCCCATAAAGATTTACTGCCTCTGAAACCCAATGGGGGGTCTCTATGCATCCAAATGGACTCAATGGCCATGAGTTTTTTTGAGTTAGTTCATGTTAGATAAGCTGACCTTATAAAATAAACAATGAATTAAAAAGTTTCCTACAAAGGAACTGAGGATTGAAGATACTACTAATAATTCAAGCACAAACCAAAAGGAAATGGCAGAAGCAACCCTTTTTACTATTCACTTTATGAGGTAAAAACAATAATTATCTGACTGGAACTGACAAGATAGTGGCTAAAAAAACCTCAAAATTATCAAGGCTATTACCTTCATCAATGATGAATTTCACCCTAAAATATATAATGCTTTTAAAAATTAGCTAATGATAGTAAAATATCACAATCAGGAAGACATTAAAAGTGTTGTTTATTACATTTTCTTTCATCCTTTTAAAACTTCTATTGAAATGTCTATATGAAATTGGTGTTACTCAACTTCTTTTGACCTTTAAAAATGGCAATTTCATATGATACAACTTATATATTAGAAAGTACATTCTTTATAACTTATATATACATATAAAGGAGCCTGATGGTGCAGTGGTTAAATGCTTGGCTGCTAACTGAAAGGTTGGTAGTTTGAACCCACACAGCCACTCTATGGGAGAAAGACCTGGTGATCTGCTCTCCTAAAGATTATAGCCATGCAAACCCTAAGAGGCAGTTCTAGTCTGATACATTGGGTCTCTATGAGTTGGAAATCAACTTGACTGTGCCAAACAACAACAATGTACATGTAAACATAAATATTATTATACATACATTCTTACATGCACACATATATTACTTTAAAGGGCTTTATTGATAGGGTAGTAACCAAAAATATGTGCTCCAGGCTCTGTCCTAAACATTTTGCCTATATTAATTCATTTAATTCTCAAAATGACCCTATGAGGTAGGTACTTCTTCATGTCCAAGATGCATATTTTTCATATTTTACTATCTCTGAAAACTGAGTATGTCTTCAATAGATGTCATTTTAAACTAATGAAATGTGGTATTATTCTTCCCATTTTGTGGATGAGGAAACTGAGGCCCAGGGAAGTTAACTAATTTTCAGAATTTACTCAGATAGTAAGCAACAGAGCCAGCTTCTAAACCCAATCATTATGCGGCTCTGAAGTCTGCACCCTTAATAACCATGTTCTAATACCTGTATGGCCCCTGGGGATGGCCTCGGGGCCTCGGGCAGTCAGCTGCCACACCCAAGGCTGGCAAACCCACCGGCCGCTCCCCGCCAGGTAGCTGGGCCGCCTCTTTAGGAGCTCTGGTGGCACAGTGCCTAAGGCACTTGACTGCTAACCAGAAGGCTGGCAGTTCAAACCCACCAGCCACTCCTCAGAAGGAAGGTTGAGCAATCTACTTCCGTAGTGATACTGCCTTGGAAACCCAAGGAGGGGTCGCTATGAGTTGGGTTCTACTCAACGGCACACAACAACAACAACAATACCTGTATTTGTACTTCTGTATCAAAATGTATAGTGGTTTTAAAACTCTTAAGACCTTTTTTCAGTTGATTCACCAGTGTTAGCACAGTGCTCTGGATCTAGTAATCCTGGGGCTTGCACATATTACTGGAACACAGTAAAGACTATGTAAGTGCTAATCACTACTTTACTACCACAATGATGTCAATAACTCCTCTGCTTCCTATTCTGTTTTTGTGGTATTCTTTAGAAGGTGTTGACAGTTCCTTATGAATAGTCTTACAAATGAATTCACATGCAGATATTATAACATCATATCCAAACTGGCTCAAATTTAAAAAATTTTCAGCTAATCCTATTTGGGGAAATGTTTCATTCACTCAAGAAATATTTAAGGTCCCATTTAAGGTCCTGAAGGTGTAAGTGGGAATTTCATTTTTCCTGTGATTAGACTCAGTTATCAAGGAAAATCAACATTCTCAATTAAAAGTCACATACCTGAGAGTCTGGTATTTGAACCAGCAATCAATGAGGTTCGATAACACCCAAAGTGATTATCACAGTTGAGTTAAAACAAAACTAAACACTTTCAGTTTTGAAATGCTTCACCCTTAAAACCCCATGATGAGTAAACTCCCGTGGGGGAAGTTGTGTTATCACACATTTGTAGTGATGGGAAGGGAAGTCTGAGAGCATTAAGATGAAATCATTTGCATATGAGGGACTCAAGAGCTCTACTTCTTTGAACGATGAAGCTGCTCCTTGAGCAGCAGGCCACTCAGCTTCAGTTGCACTGAGACAGTGCCCCAGGCATCCTGGACAGCTTTCCATACAGGAGGTCTAGACAGCAGCTGTCAGCTCAACTTAACCCTCAAGGCTACCGTAGATGTGAATGACAGCAAGATGGTTCAAGAAAAGAACAGAAAGCCAATTTATTCATCTATACTACAAAATGTAATGGTCAAACAAATTGGATCCTCAAACCTCATTGGTCATCTATCTGCTTTGCTTCTTAAGAGCCTCTTAGAATAATTACAGTGCCAGAAGATGTAAATGCTCAGCTGCTAACCAAAAGATCAGCAGTTTGAACCCATCCGCTCTCTGTGGGAAAAAGACTTAGTGATCTGCTCCCGTAAAGCCTAGAAAACTCTATGGGGCAGTTCTACTCTGTCCAATAGAGTTACTGAGTCAGAATCAACTCAATGGCACCGAGTAACAACAGTGACCTGGTGGAGGCCCTAGGTGGTATAAACATTTGAAATGGAGGTTTACACTCACCTAGGAGTGCCTCAGAAGAAAGGCCTGGTGATCTACTTCCAAAAAATCATAAACTGAAAACCTTATAGAGTACAGTTGTCCTCTGACACACGAGGTTGCCATGAGTCAGAATCGACTCAACAGCAACTGGCAATGATCTGGAAGGACACCCTTCCACGGGGACAGCTGCTCAGGTTCCTGCATATTCCCTGATGGCTGATAAGAAAGCCTCTTCTCTGGAAGGAGAAACTTATACTCTATGCTTCCTTCCTTCTGACTGCCAGGCTTAAGTTCTTCATCTCCTCCACATATTCAGCAATGCCAAGTAATTAAACATCTCTTCATAGGGCTGTTGTTGTTGTTGTTGTTATATGCCGTCGAGTCGGACCTGACTCATAGCGACCCCTCCTTGGGTTGCTGAGGCAGTATCATAGAAGTAGATTGCCCCATCTTCCTTCGAGGAGTGGCTGGTGGGCTTGAACCGCCAGCCTTCTGGTTAGCAGTCAAGTGCCTTAGGCACTATGCTACCAGAGCTCCCCTTCATAGGGCTAAGGCTTGATAATTTCTTCAATGCCTTGGAATAGACTAAGGTGTTTGGTTTTTGCTAATGGACTGAAGGAAAAGTTGAAACTATAAACCCTCTCCCATTCCAAGCTTTCTTTCATAAGTATCATTGTTCTGGAACATATCATAAAATATAATGAAAATTAAATCTACTTCGCAAGACAAGTGACCTACTCTTGACAACAGTAGTATTAATTGAGCCAGAATCAGAGACCGAGTAATATACCATAAAATGGATGTAATTCCCTTAATCCCTATTTTATTTTGTTTTTTAATTTATAATTATTGAAGAGCCTTTTATTATAAATGTAAGCTTTTTCTACTTATCTTTTTGGCCTTCAGATTGATGGTAGTTAGCCTATGAATAGAAAAACCAAGGGGAAATGATTTCATTGTAGTCAAATATTAGATCATTATGTAACTGAAAGAAGTAGGCAGATAATTCCAAAACTGGGGTGAGTGAAGGTAGGCAGCTCAATATCAGAAAGTAACTTCACCAGGCTATGGAAGGGGGCCTCCCAAGGATGGGTGGGAGGTCTGTAAGCAGAAGATGGCTGTGTATCCTTTGGGGATGCTGTGCAGGGGATTTCTGTTCTTGGTGGAAAGTTGGGTTAGATGCCCACGCTTGGGCTCCTTTCAGCTCTCAATTCTATAATCTTATCAGTGAAAGCAGAGGTGGTCAGCTAAGGTGTTTTCCTATACTTAGCAAGTGGAAACTCAAAACTTTGAACTCAAGTAACCTGATGACATATTGGTGGGCCAATTCCCAGGAATTGCCACTTATAGTTCCTCTTCAACACTCCAAGGTGACATTGGTATAGACTTTTAAGATGAATGCATGCCAAGTGAGCACAGCTTACACCATCCTTGAGGAAGAATGGGATCCTTTCTACTTAGTCTGATTAGGTTTGCCTTTGTGGACTGACTTCTAAGTTTTTTTTGAATGTGAACCTCACAATAGGGTTTGTGTTTAATATATTTATTTGGTTTTGACAAAGGCAGTTTCAAAGGAAGGGACAAGTTGGCAGACTTAATCAAATAAAGATTAGCAGTTGGATAAAAAAAAGATATCCGGAAGAACATACTAGCAGTGGTCACTATTTTGGGCTACCACAAAAGATGAGGATAAATGGAGGAGGGACACTTTCTCACTTCATTTGTTCCCTTCCACAATATCTGAAAGGAGCCCTGGTGGTGCAGTGGTTAAAGCATTCAGCTGTAACTGAAAGGTTGTTGGTTTGAACCAACTAGCAGGTGAAAAGATCTGGCAACCTGCTTCCGTAAAGATTACAGCCTTGGAAGCCGTATGGAGTGGTTCTGCTCTGTCCTAGAGGGCTGCTATGAGTTGGAATCAACTTGATGCTATACAACAAGACAACAGCATGTTATCTGAACGAGGTGCAAGTATATGTATTACATTTGTAATAATAAAAAAGTTAAAACTAGTGATTTATTTTTAGGAAAACTGAATGTATATGGAACATGGCTCTGTCATGTTTGGCTCTGTTTTTCCATGCTCTAGCCGCTACTAAGTTGATTCCACCTCATGTTGACCCCATGTGTGTCAGAGCAGAACTGTGCTCCACAGTGCTTTTCAGTAGTCGATAGTTTGGAAGTAGATCACCAGGCCTTTCTTCTGAGGCACCTCTGGGTGGACACTAACCACCAATCTTTCGGTTAGCAGCTGTTTACTTGTTCCACTGGGTGTCAAAGAAGGTGTTAGGAAATGTTCATTAGATGTGTGTGTGTGAAATAATGAACGAACAGATTGCTGCTGTTCTGCCAGAAAGTAAGGCTGTTCCAAGAACAAAAATTTCTCAATATGTGGAATATCTTTTTAATGAAAGCCAGCTCTCTTTATCTATAATTCTTACCAGTGACTTTCAAAGTAATCCGCTTGTAGTCGGCACCACCATAGCTGATCAGGCAGCAGTAAACCCCTGCATCCTGCAATTTCACATCTGTGATTTGAAGGGCGGCCTTGCCCAGGGAGAGCTGGTCCTTCAGCAGCCAGGCCCTCTGCTTGTAGCTGCTGTGCTGCACCTTCAGGTCTTCCTCCCCATCCACAAACTGAATAATTTTCTTATCCCCCATTTCCCAGTAGACAACTAACACAGCCAGGTTTAATTGCTTTTCTACTGGGAATGTGCATTCCATTGTCACATTGCTGCCATACTCTACTACATGTAGGTCCTTGGGAACACTGACGGTAAATGCTGCAAAGAAAGAAAACCAATTTTTGTAAGACAGAGTCACTCACTCACTGCTGACAAGTCATATCTGACTCAGTCAGAGTAGTCCTCAAAAAATTTACAAAACGGGTGCAGGATTTTAAACCACTTTATCTAGTCAGTTGTGTGGTAATCATGTTATGTCCCTAAAATATATTTTTTATCCAGTGGATTTGAAGCATGTTTTGGGACTCTATCTCTCAGTCCTGAGTTAGAATAGAATTAGTTAAATGAGTCATCATTCTACAATTCATAAACATACATTACTGTAAAAATATTAAGTGGTGACCAAGCAGACTTTGCTTCATGCAGACATCTCAGAATTTGCCTTCTACCTAGACTGAATGGTAGATTCCAGTAGTCTTCTCCTCTTGCTTCCCTAAACTCTTTTTCAGTTCTCTGGCCAGAGGTACATGGACATGGAGATTTAGGGAGGGCCTTAGGCTGAAGCCAGTACTGTGTGACCCTGACATTTTCCTTGAATGCTTAAATTCTCTCTTGGAATATACTCATTGGGAAAAGCAGGTCACAAAGTAACATGGATAGAATGATCTTTGTTTAAAACATACAAACACACAGTAGGACATTTCCCTAAATAGTTTCAATGGCTATCACTGGGAAATAGACAACATATTAATTTTGTTTCTTTCACTTCGTCTATATTCCTACATACAATGACATGGTTGACTTGTTTATGAAATAAAGAAGATAAACTAAAATGTTCTGTCTATAAAAAATATTACATCCATTTTGATTATTTTACTTTTCAACTCATGATTAAAATATTTTAAAAATATAGTATCTAATAGTATCTTACCGTTCAATAAATGACTGTAGGTCATGAATGTAAAGACATTAAATATCCTCATCTTTCGGTAATGACCTGATTATGAAGAACAGAAGATGACTGGTTCATTCAATAGTTCAACACCAAGATGGTATGGGACTTGGCAGCTTTAACTGAAATGATAACTTCTGATAATTTAATTGAAATGTTAACTTCTGATAACTGGCCAATGACTGATTTGTAAGTTTGGCAATACATCAGGGAATTTTTAAATTCAACATCTTCATTTAATATCTCAGAGCTATATAAACCAAGTGAAATAAACATTACTATGGCAAGAATTTTAAAATTTATTATAAGCCCTCGGGGGTGGGGAACTTGTACACTCAAAAGAAGCCAAGGGGATATTGTACCAAAATTCTTTAAAGTATTCCAAGTTTTTTTTTTTCTATAGTGTTAACTATCAAGAAATCCAGCCCTACCCTATGAGAATCTGACTTTCATTTGTCCCACCTTTTCATCAATCCTTCCCTAGCAGCTGGTTACTTGATCCTCCTCTGTGACTGTTCAAGCCTTCTACTTCACTCTCCCAAACCTCACCAGTTCCCTCCAATTGCCTGTCTTTCAATGTCTCCTGTTTCTCACTCTTCCAAATCCTATTCCCTCAATAGACTGATTCTTCTTTCAGGGAGAGTTGGAAGGAGAAATAGTTAGATTTAACCAATCCATACTAAAATGTGAGTGATGTACAGCTACTCATCCAGAGATATCTGCCTAGATTCCGTTCATTTTGTCATTTTTTGCTTGAAATTCTACAGTGTCATTCATCAACTATCCACTGAGCACCCCCTCTGTGCTAGGCACTATTTTAGGCACTGGGGATGAAGCAGTGAACAGAAGAACAAAGCCACTGTCCTCTTGGAACTTACATTCACCTATGGGAGTAACTAAGGAGCTCTGGTGGGGTACTGGTTAAGGCATTTGCCTGCTAATCAAAAGGCTGGTGATTCGAGCCTCTCAACTGCTTCATGGAAGGAAGATGAGGCAGTCTGCTTCCATAAAGATTTGTCGCCTTGGAAATCCAAGGGGAGTCACTATGAGTGAGAATAGACTTGATGGCACTGAGTTTGAAGGGAGTAAACAAAGAAGATTGCATTACTGTATTCCAACCAATCTGTTCATTTATTGACATACTTTTTCTCTTTTGTGCTCTACATATATTTACAAACTTTGAAAAGAAATTTCAGTTTTCCCTTTCAGTGTCTCTCCAAATTCTATATACATACAAAAACTCATAAATGATTAATAAACCAGGTGGCACTATGGTTAAAGCATTGGGCTGCTAACCAAAACGTCAGAGGTTCGAACCCACCAGCTGCCCTGCTACCTTAAAGACTTGGAATCCCTACAGGGATCTTCTAGTCTGCCCTATAGGGTTATTATGAGTCAGAAGCGACTCAATGACAATGAATTTATACATATAAACTCAGAAGATCAATGCCTCTAATATAGAAATAGCCCTTAGAAATCACACACAACCCAACAGGAAAAAGAGGAAAAGGTACTAGAAAGAATAAGAAATACAAATGACACATAAAAGTAGGAAGGATGCTCAACCTCACAAATAAAAAAGCCTAAGTGTAAGATCTAAGATCATTTTTCACTTACTCGCTTGACCAAAATTATGAAGAGTTTCACCATTCAGTGTTGTGAGGATACAAACACTAACTCACTAATAGTGAACAGCCTTTTGAAGGTAGTTATCTTAAAATTTAACTGTATAACCTTGCACTCCCTCTCCTAGAAATCTATCCTACCAAACCACAAGCGGGTACATGTTACATATAAAAGGATGGCATTGCTAAGGGAGGGCAGAGTAATGAGTGCTAGTTAACAGCTGAGGGTGGACTAGGACCTAGGTGTCCTACTTTCCACCCTAGGAGTTTCTTTATACTCCTGCCTACCTCAGGACCATATTCACGAACAAGAAGAAAGAAACTTACGGGGCTGACAGTAAGCGAAACTGCATGCCGCCTGGCAAAGAAGCCAATGTACTGCTTGTTCTTATTGACCCCACAGACAATCAATTCTACTGCCCCCAAGACCATCGCGATTCCCTAGCCCCACTGCCCGTTCCAAATCAAGGTTCTCTATAGATCGACCCTTTAAAGCGCCGGGCGAGCCAGCGGAGACCCCGGGCAGCGGGAGGCGCCGGGGAGGAACGCTCCTACCTGCCGCCTGCGTGGAGATGCAGAATACTGCGCTGGACAGACACACCGGGAGGTCAACCAGCGATGATGCACATTCAGAGGCTCGTGGGGGCCAGGCGGAGTGAGGTGCTGCCTCACCTCTGCCGAGCAGTCCCACTCAGAAGAGGTAGGCGAGATGGACATCCGGACTTCCTCCCTACCGCCCTCTGGCTCAAAATGAGGGACTCAACATCCTTCAAATAAACACGTATAAATGAAACCGAAAGTGAAACCTACCAACTGTTTTCCCATAAATCAAATGGTTAACCAAGAAAAGCTACCAGTCAGTATTCACTAGCATGGAAAATTGCATCAAGATGTAATTTGGAAAATGAGAGACACCTTGATAAATTCTGACATCAGGTTCTCCCCCCCCCACCCCGCGCGAAGTTATCTATTGCTGCTATAACAGAAACACCACAGGTAGGTGCCTTTAAGCAACAAACTTTTGTTCTCATAGTTCAGGAGGCTAGAAGTCTGAATGCAGGGCGCTAGGTTCTAGGGGGAAGGCTTTCTGTCGCTGTCGGCTCTGGGAGAAGGTCTTTCTTTTCTCAGCTTGTTTCTTGGTTCCTTAGTGATCTTCATGTGATGTGACATTTCTCTCGTCCCCCATCTCGGTTCTGCTTGTTGTTTAATTTGCTCATGTTTCAAAGGAGATTGATTTAAGACACAACCCACACTGATACTGCCTCATCAACAAATGGGATGATTTTCTGGGGATACAATTCAATCCGTAATACCTCTTTTCTGTTAAAAGCGTTACCAAGATGCCTGGACATTTTGAGATAACTCTACAACATATAGAAAGCAAAACAACCAGCCCATGGGACTTTGGTTTTTATTCTAGAAAGTTGATGTGTATATAACAGGAAATATATTTTTAAATTATGGATTTTGTGACTTCCTCCAAGTTCCTCGACATAATGAAACTTGTTTCTTCGTCATTAATATAACTTCCTATCATGAGTTACACATTGTAAGAAGACGTTGGAGCCCTGCTATCCCGCCATCCTTGGGGTCCATATCCTGCGTGAAGGTTAAGAAAGCCCCTCTGGTCACCTCACGATCAATGGATGGGTATAAGCTGAAACCACATGACTCACAGAGGGTCCTAGTATAGTTTACTTGATGGTTCCCTGCCCCTGGACCTCTGGATGCTTCCTTTCTTCTCTTCTTTCTAATTTTAAATTGATAAGCTGAACTCTTCTTCATTGTTTGCCCTGTCTGCTTATTCATTTCACTGCAGTTTAAAATACTGCATAAGGAATTGACTCAGTTATGGTATTTACTTCTCAGTAAGAATTTGCTTATTCTCAGAACATTACAGGTTTTTATTTTGTAACTTGGAAACTGCTGAGGATAACATTGCCTTAAAGATCTGGGGAGAGTGAAATTCTCTTTGGCTTCAATACAATGGTAGCAGACCTTGAAGATCCAGGTCAACTGGCGCCTCTTTCAAATCTCTTTCCTAAGGCAACATAGTGCTTTACCAACTTTAGTGACTGTGACCTACCATATGTACTTTAGGTGGTGATCCTGCATTCATGTGTATGTATACACAAACAATTTTCATGAAATAATACTTAGCACTAGTTTGTGTAATGCATCTGATATTTTCTGCTTATTGATTTCATTTTTCTATAAAGAACAGTCAAGCAAGATCCAGTGCATATATGTCATGACTTACTAATAGGCCATGATTGTCCAGATCTAAAAAAACTGCCTCTGGAGCCATCTGCCGCTAACCAGACAAGTGACTTTAAGCAAGTAACTTAATGAGAATGAGGATTAAGTAATATTTTCTGAGATGGCCTGTGTGAGCTGTGAATTATTTTAAAATCTTGTTTGTTTTACCAAAGCAATGCTCAGGGTTTACACAATGACCAACAGCATTAGCTGAGTTGTGAATGGAATTTGCCTTTCTCTGAAGTGGTTGATGGGAACGGAATCACTCAGCATTTTGCTTAGTGATTTACATATTAGTAATCTGACAATTTGTGTTCTTGTTCATCTCTCCCACCTGTTTCCACCCTTCAGCCATTCATTTTCTCATGCGATTGATCAAGCTCCTTTATGATGTTTTTGAGAGCCTCCAGAGGTAGAGAAACAAGTTACTTTTAGGAAAAATGAAGAAATTTTATCATCTCAAAAATATATGAAATATATGAAAATCAAAACAGCCAGGAAAGCATTAACCCTGAGATCCTGTGTGGTCTCTGGAATTTGGGCGAAGTGGATGGAAAAGCTCTGAGATAGGAGAAGAGCACTGGGCAGCCTGAGAGGTAGGGCTGGACACCTCGGTCACCTCAAATATCACCATTTATTTGCTCCTCATGTCCCATCTACCCTGTTCATTTTTAGAAGGGTAAACTCGTTATTGCCAATATGATTTTCTTGTGTTTCTCAGAGAGTTTCTGAGGGTCACTTGTATCACAGTTGACTTGAAGTCCTTGTTAAAATGTAGATTCCTGGGCTCTGTCACAGACCTGCTGTGGACCACCTCTGGCGGGTTGTTGTTGTTGTTGTTGTTATGTGCCATCGAGTTGGACCTGACTCATAGCGACCCCTCCTTAGGTTGCCAGGGCAATATCACTATGGAAGTAGATTGCCCAACCTTCCTTCTGAGGAGTGGCTGGTGGGTTTGAACCGCCAGGCTTCTGGTTAGCAGTCAAGTGCCTTAGGCACTATGCTACCAGAGCTTCTCTGGCGGGTGGTACTGGGGATCTATTTTTCATACCCTCCCCAGGTGACTCATATGCACCTAAATTTTGAAAACTGATGGCTTAGTTTACAAGGAAAAAATTGAGACCAAAGTTCTCTGCAAGTGCCACTGTCATTTCTCTT